TCTTGCCTACCAGAATATGGTAGCACAGATTATTCGCCCATACAGATCCAAGCACAGGCAACAATCAGAGCACAAGGTTGTATATAAAGCGTATTCACCATAGATTGTCTGAGGTGATAAAACATCATGTGAATGGACATTACGTTTCCGTTCAATTTCATACAGCCCTGCTTTTCCAAAAGGCATTCTCACGCAAATTGGACGCCATTTTGAATCTCACCTTCCATGGGACTCGAAGCATGACGCTGCAGCGTATAATCTCGCCACGTCAACCACTACTCCACATTGTCGCCAGAGCCCTTTGGCCACAGGGCAGATGTGAATTTGGAAGAGGGCCAAGCATTTTCCTTCATCACATTCGGTGTTATATTTGCTACAGCAATCTACTATGTTACTTTTTTTTCATTTAAAAGTAGTATTTTGAGACTATCACTGGATCATTTATGTGTAGTCCTTAAAACATATTTTTACACAAAAAACAATACACGGTTGTCGGGCCCAAAAAATGACCATTCGATGCGATTGCTGCAATAGAAGATTCGCAAAAATCGTAATTGAGAAATCAGTCTGGAGTGAGAATGGACCTTCTGCCTCAATCCGGTCTTGCTTCCTGAGATGAGGAAAGCGTTTTAAGGGAAAAAATCCCATCTTCACAATCAGCCTAGCGTAGTTAATAAAGCAGAACACTAAATATGCCAAAAATTCCCTACCTCGACGTGGTATGCCCAAATGTATGTCGGTTAAACACGCTCATTGGGCCTCATTGCTTCGGCCCATGAAAGCAACATTTGTGCCCCACCGATGGGGAGTTGCAGAATTGAATTGTAGAGAGTGCCTTGGCTATTTCGTTTTCGTTGTCGCCCCTTTCACGATGGTATCCTCTCTCGTCAACAAGGACAATCAAAGTGACAGTACTTTTTTGGTTGTCATGACATCACTTTGGTTCTCCATTCTTGATGCCGCAGATCAGAAAATGCCGGATACTCTTCAGCTTATTTCATCACAATCGGCCGCATATTCAGCGGGTTTATTTGCTAGTCCCAGTATGCAAG